TTATATTAGTTTCTTTTCCCTTTCCTACGTATTACTTAGTTAGTTACTTAAATTAATTATTAGTAGTCTTACTTAGTATAGTATTACTTAATTAAATTATAGTATATATATATATATATATATATATATATATATATAAGTGCACAAAAAACTTACTTTTCACATTTTTTTAAGCCCGTGTTTTCATATAAACAATTTTTATTTTTTAATCATAGACAATTTAGTTTCAATAGTTCATCATTCATCTATCCAGTCAGGATTTTAAATCTTTTATTTACATTCTAGTTTGCCTTAATCAATAGTAGTTAGATCTGCATTCTTTATTTACTTAAATGATAAATCTTTCTTAGTTTTTGGCAAGTTTTTAATGATTTATAGGTAGGAGCAGTGATTACTGTAACTAGCAAAATAAAGTGTCAAAACAAATATATTAATAAACATCAGTCTACTTGAAACTGGCTGGATATGTAAAATGGAACTTTTTGATCAACAATAAAAAAAATAATTTGAATTCTAAGGTTAAAACACAATACTTTTAATGCTTTTTTCAAAACAATACCTCACAGCAAAATTTTGGAAATTTCACAAACTAAGAAATGGTAAAAATACTAAATCAACTTATCAAAATTTTTCTGTGCTTAAACTAGATACTATGTAGTAAGTTGGTCCAAGGTTTCATGTAACTTGATTAAGTACCATCACTTTATGAAGAAAAAAAAAAGGGGGGATATCAAAGACATCTCTCCAGTCACGACAAAGTTAATAACATCCTGGGATTCTCTTTGATAAATCACATGGACTTGGGAAGCCTTATTAGCATACTGGATCCCATGACTGCAACACCTAGATGAAACTTGTACTTACAAAATATTTACATTTTACCTTTTAGTAATAATGTTGTTAATACACCAGCACGAAATACAAGAAAAGGAATGTATTCATCACTGTGACATCTCAGTTTCTGTAGCAATTTGTCCACATATGAGTCTGGAAAACCATGTAGTAGTTGTCCTAACAAATCAGTGTAGATATCTCCTGTAAGGCCTTGGACTTCTTTCTGAACTAGTTTTAAAAAATGCACAGGTTATTGCTGTTACTTTCATATTGGAAGAAAGATGAAAATGTACTTATTGCAAAGTAATTGTGAAAATATAACTTGCTTGAAATATCTTTATCTCAAATTAACATAAATAAACTGCATTTTATGTAATCTAAGACTTAAAGCCTTCCATTTAATTATTACAAATTATTAAATGTCAGAACATTTATTACAGATTTGAATTGTAACTAAATACAAAAGTGAAATAATTGACAAGTTTTAGAAACAAAGTTAACTCTGAATTTATGGACCTATTTTTATAATGTTCGGTATAAGTGAGGTCCACCATTTGCATCAAATTTATGCTTTTGTCTGTAATTTCATTCAGGGTAAAAATATGGCAAAAATAAATTAGGTGAAATTATGGATTTTCTAAATAAGAAACATACAAGAATCCAACAGTAATAAGTGGGATTAATTTCAATATTACAAAGATTTGTGTTTATATGTTTTTTATGTGTGAAGCATAACTTATTGTGGACACTATAATCATAAAAGCCATAGACTCGTAATGTACGAATAGTTTTTAAAAAATTTGCTTAAAAAGCTGATGAGATCCATAAAGACCCCAGCAGTAATTCTATAGTTAATTACAATATAACGTACAGCACAACCTGCTACAACATGTGGTTTATACTGGTTAAATAAATATATATATATATGTTTTGAACAAAAACTCATTAAATTTTTTTTTATATCTTGCTATTGCATGCAGATCTCTTTCAGCTTTAATACATTAGATCTCACTCACATTTAAACCTACCTCTGTACTGACTAATAATATTGTATGCTTGAAGCAATCGTTCTTCAGTTGCTGGATGATGTGACTTAATGCTTTCCAAAAGATGTGCTGCTTGGGTAACTAAGTTGGTCTTTTCTCCCTCCTTCTGAAAACTGGATAAATAAGAATCTGAATTCATGAAACAACAAATCTTGGCCAATCACTACAATCCACTAGTGAAAGATAAAAAAAAATTATAAAACAACTAAAGTGGATCTAACTTATCGAAATTAATAAGAACATTCGAGCAGGTAGACTTAGAATGAAAACTAAACTTTCTCTCACTAAAACATTCAATAATGAGGAATAAAATTGTGTATGATAACTACAAAAGCTCATGAAAACTTGTACTTAGGTACAGTTGATAGTTATCCTTGAATTACCTAACATTTGTGCCAGAATCCTATTCTGATTTTTAGTAATTGTAAATGATTTTGGTGGGGAAGCTTATGGGTCATTTGTACATTATAATAATTACTGTGGTGTGGTATAAATTCTCACTACAATATTTATAAATTCACTGCACAAAGCATGTCTGTCCTTGGTATTTTATATGTTGAAAACTTCTTTTTGACCTAATCCAAATGGATTCTAAATGTATATGCCAACTACACAATAGCTTATGAATTAAACATTAAATACAAGTTTTCATACATTATTCTAACAGTTAGCTAGGCTAACAAAGTCAAACATTTACTTTGAGTTTACAATTTCTTACTATCTTTTACACTCACTATATTTGCACCAGTAAAAATGTCAGAACTTCCCATAACTCTAATACAACTTATTTTTGTATTAAAGAGCATTTTCAATTATCTCTACTTGATACACTAATTCCCAGGTTGAGATCGGTATGAAGTTTTAGGAAAAGGGAGAGTAATACACGGGTGAATATTCTTACTAAAATACATTTTTATTTTGAAAACATTATATAATTTTCATTATTAAACTCTCTTCTGGATTATGCCATCTTGCACTACAATTATGCAGGAAAAAATTAAGATACAAAAACTAAGGATAAAAAAGATCAAAGAAACTGTAATACCTGAAAGAACATGTCTATCTTAGAATGATCATTTCCAAATGAATATTACAACAACTTAAATAAGTTTTATCTATTGTTAAGAATGTTATGATTTCAACAATGTGACTTCCTTTAGGCACTACAATTCTGTTGAAGTAAAAAACTTTTTTTTTATCCAAAACAATAAAAATAGCTACCACACAGGAAACTTTAAATAAAGTGATGAGATAACTTTAAAGAAACATATGCAACTGATTAAAAAAAAAAGCATACCAAAATTATATTCAAACCTAAAATTAAATAAGATTAACAACCTGGATGTGGCAAAAACTACATTCTAAGGCTTAAAGCATATAAGAAACATTAACTTACTGATTTATTAAAAATTCAATTGGCTTTTCTGGCTTAGAGTCGAGTAATGCCAACAGTGCTCGTTGAAGGATGGGCTGCACATCAGATTCTGCCATCTTAGCTTGAACAACAAAATACACAGATATAATGTTTTTGTTCTGAAAGGGAAAATATAATTTCAATCCTTTGAACTCAAATATTCAGTTAAAAGAAGTTATGTCTAAAATGTCAATCTTTCATAACATATGCTTATACATGTGTGTCCAGGCAGTAATAGCTTAATACTTTGAAGTTATGTAATTTTAAAAGTTTCCAAAGTTCATTGCTACAATTCTATATAGCTTCCTACATTATGAGAATTATTGTTCAGAAATAATTTCAAGAATAAATTTTTGGTACACAGAAAAGTAATCATCCAAAGTTGACTAAGGACCCACACTGAGAAAATGAGACTCTGCAATGGGTTGCTGTGAATAGGGACAGAAGGAAGGAACAATATAACTTGGAAGGCAAAATACAGCAACTTCTGAAGCAATCTTGCAGAAAATCCCATCCCAACAGTGGGCACTGAGCAGGAGCAGTTGAATTAACATTTTCTTTTATCCCCTACTTGATGTAGATTTCAGAAGAGTGTGTTTTATTCCTTGTGAGGCAACATAGACCACATTTATAGGTTGCACTGTCTCCTGTATATATATATATATATGTGTGTGTATGTGACTATATATATATATATATATATATATATATACACTGTACATTAGATGGTTTCTTTTATAACCTCTGGGAGTAGTGCACAATGGTGATTGGAAAGAGACAAAATCCAGAAGCAGAAAAAAAGACAATGTATTGTAAGCAATATGACAAAATGGTGTTGGGATTGTCTACATCCCCATTTGCAATATCTCATTCAGGTGATAGTGTAGAGGGGAATCACAAATACATCAATAAGAGGACTTCCAAAGTGAGAAAAAGTCCAAAAAAACACCAAGAGATGTAAGAAACACTGTTGGTAGGAGTTGGTTCAGGTAAGACAGACAATCCATCACTAAATTCAAAGTTCACAACATATGAGAGATTATCAACCAAATGTTGTTTTTATGAGCCCAAAAGTGGAGTTCAAGAACAAAAAAGCAGAGGTCCTGAGAGTGGATACTTCCTGTTGTTTGATGTAAAACACAATGGTGAAGTTGTTAAAACAGATCAAAATAGAATTTCCAGGAAACTTTAACAAAATATACTGGCAGGTCAATTGAAGTGTGCACATACCAAGGACATTGATGTAAAAAGGCCAGTTTGTAAAAGACCAAACATCAAAAATGGTTAAGATATTAAGAACCCCACCTCACCTGGCTATAAAGTTGTATGAAAATGTTCAAGCCACCATGACAGTGGTAAATGAGAGTCAAAGTAAGAGAAAATGAAAATCCTCAAGCTGGTAAAGGATATTCAAGGGAAAGGGAAGAATTCTAACCAAAGGCCACAGAGAAGGAGTGTTAAGTTTAAGGAGGATGAGGCAACTGAGAGACAGAATCTGCAATATCACAACAATCAGATGAGGGAGGACGAAGGGGAAAAATTAGATGAATTGAGGATTGTGCGATGAGATTGCTCAAGAATCAGCAGTAGCAACTGAAGTGAGAGGGCAAATGTCACCTACCTGAGTTGGGCAAAGTTGGATGTTACCTGATCCTCATCAAAGATAGAAGATCCAGAATCCAAGGCAGATGCAGAAGGTATAAAAGCAGGAGACCATCAGATGTGGGTCTGAGATGAAAAAAAAGTAGGATAGCACCCCAACCACGTGATGTACAATGGTGAAAAAGATGCTCACTGAGAAAATAATTCAAGTCACCATTGAAGGAAAATAAAAAATGCTTATGAAAAAGAGTCTAGACTTTAGGAAGCTTCAGAAATGTGAATATAAGAAAGCAATACAGATTCAATAAGATCAACAAAACTGAATGCATGGAAAGAATGAACATTTTTATGATTTTTAAATTTTTTAGTGGGTCTGATATGTCCATGGTAGATAGATCTCGGCCATTTCTGTATTGACAAAATTGTGATTAATTATCACAAATCTGCCAAATCCCAAAATCTGGGGAATATTCCTAAAAAGGAAACCACATCACAGAGTTTGGAACATGTTCCCAAAATTTTGTATTTTAACTAACAAAAGAAATCAAAGTAATATACAAAAAGATGATAATAATATGTGTTAAAAGCTCAAACTGAATCTGAATCTTGAAAAAGAAAGAAAATTAAGTAAGAATGCTAACACTTCATTAACAAAAAGTCAAAAATAATAATTATGAAAATTTCACAATTCTTAATAATAATAATAAAAAACACACCACTGAACAGTACAGTGATAAGGAAAATAATAAGCTTTTGGTATACACAAAGTGCTCAAGGAGGATATGTTACCATCCTATTGGTAGAAAGCTAATATAGTCTAATACTGATACAAAGTGCTCAAGGAGGATGTGTTACCATCCTATTGGTAGAAAGCTACTATAGTCTAATACTGATACAAAGTGCTCAAGGAGGATGTGTTACTATCCTATTGGTAGAAAGCTACTATAGTCTAATACTGATACAAAGTGCTCAAAGGAGGATGTGTTACCATCCTATTGGTAGAAAGCTACTATAGTCTAATACTGATTGCATAATAGATTGGTACAGTACATGTTACTATGTGCAGGAGTGGGAGTTTTGTTCAAAGGCTTAGGCACAAAAAAATGTTTGGTAGTAACTTGAGGTATTAGGTATTGTTCTATGGTAAGGTCAGTAAAAATATATATTACATAACTAAATTACTAAATACACATACAATACTTCTGTTACCTCATACTTCAAAGATCAACATATGTATCTTCTATCTTAAAAACTGGCTGGTAACTTCAAGTAAAACATTTTTCTGTTAACCACTTGAGACCTTATGTGAATTTAATGATATTCTTCTGACTCATGATTATAGATATGATCTCAAGCTGTGCAATTATTTCTTCTATAAACTTATCTATATGTTAATAAGTTGAGGACCAATTTTCTACAGTATCATTCCTAAATTTTATAGGATGTAACTTTAGAACAATGTTCACTAATCTGGTAAAATACTACGAAATTATTGTTTAACGTTCAGTATGCTTTTCTTTTATTTCAATGTATTATAGTTATGTATATATTTGACTATTTGCTGCTAAAAAGTTATGCCTACAACATCCAATTACGCAGTTTAAATCCTAGCATAACCTTGATCACTTCATGCTCATTATTAAAGTGGAAAAAAATCTGTGATGAGGATGCTGCTGCTTTACAAAGGGATTCAGATTATTTAGTGAGTAAATGGCAGATGGCTTTTAATTTCAATAAATGCAAGGTAATGCAAATGTGTTAGAGCTGGGTGATTAGCTCAATTAATTAACATAATACATTACCCATGAACATTGAGTAGTGTTACATAAAACAATTGATTAATCAAAATTACAATTGATTAACATCATAAACATAATCAACTCATCTAAATTAGTGTTTTAGATTATTGTTGTTTTTATTAATGCCAACCATCCAAGTCATTGAAATATTACCATTATGATTTGTTTGTTTTTTCAATTACTTCAAGGGGAAGTGTCACATCTCACAAAAATAATCAATTAATTGAAATCCGTAATTCTGATTATTACTATTATTCAACCTATTCAAAATTTGTGAGATTTATTACATGATAGAAAAAAAAAGGATCTTGGTGTTTCACTTTAACCAGTCTCTTAAACCAACCAAGCAGTGTGCTGTTGCTTGTGGTACATAAAATAGTATTCTAGATTGTATTTACAGAAATACTGAATGTAAGTCTAAAAGTTTTAATTTCCTTATATAGGTCACTGTTTAGGCCTCATTTGGAGTATTGTGTATGGTCCTGGGCTCCTTATCTTAAGAAGGATGTTGGATTGTTGGAAAGTGTTCACACAAGGGTTAGTAGGATGATATCTGGGATGGAAAGAGTGTCATACAAGGAGAGGTTAAGATCTCAGAAATAATTTTTTCTTGAAAATGAAGCGTTAGAAGGGATCTGATTGAGGTGTTTAAGATTTTTAGGGCAAATGACAGTGTTGAATCATCTTTTTTTTTGTACTAGTGAGAATGGTAGGACAAGGCAAAAAATATAACTCTGGTGAGAAGAATCATCTTCAACTACAATAGTTTTATTTTTCTAACAGGGTGGTTGACCTTTGAAATAGATTGCCTACATATGTGATAGATGCAGTAAAGTTAAGGGAGTTTAAGGAATGGCTTGATAAATATTTAAATAATAAGGGCTGCATGGCATTAATTTTTTTTTTACATTTAGTTTAATAATTGGGACAGCCTTGTTAGACCAACAGACCCCTTGCCATCTTGAAATGTTATATTATTATTGCAGAAAAATATTTTAAGAAAGTACTTGTTAAAGAAAATTAATACAACTTAAGCTAACTAAGTACAAAAATAGCAGTGTTGTCTTTAGTTCTTTATCATGAAAAGTTTGAGTAAAGCTTGAAAACAAGATTTATTATATTTTTGTTAAGCCTAAATTTACAACTTTTATCTTTTAAACATGAATGAAATTTTATTTGGGCTAAATATCATGAAACAGTGTTTTGAAATCATTCTATTTAAAGTGAATGAAATATAGTGAAATCTTTACCAGCATCTCTCCAAATGCTAACTACCAATTATTTTATAATCCAGATTTTCTGGAGTTGAATACGCAAACATAACCAACCACACACAACAGCAGACCATAAATTAAACAATTTTACTTGTAACATCGTATCTCTGCTTACTGTAATAAAAACAGTACTCTAAATTTGTCACTGTGTATAGTTTCTTCATTTATTTAGTTATTGAGTTATTAGAGGTAAGTTATTACAGCATCTTTGTGTGTTATAGGAATTAATAAGTACATTATAAAAGTATATATTAATTATGTTCAGCTATTTTTTAATGGTTTTTCCTAGTAATTAACTCATATACGCAGTTATTATTATTATTTTATATATCTCATACTGCTTAAAATAAATCAATTTTAGGTATTTTTGGAAGTGTGTAATAACTTTTCTATTTGTCCTATTATTATTTAATTGGATAGATTTCTTGCATGTACAGCTTTACCTGTTTAGGTTATTATTATTAATAACACTTAAGAGTTTTTATTATAATAAAATTACTACAAGTCAGGCCTATTTTCCTTCCCTTCACAAATTAGTTAACTTCTTTAACTATCTTACTAGCATGAGTAGCATCTCAACAATTTTAATATTTTATTATTTAAACCTAGTCACCATCTTTATAATGTATTCTTGTTACATTTTGTTACACTTAAAGGTTTTTTAATTTTTTAGTAATCCTTTTTAAAATGCACATCGAGCCACAGTTTTCTAATATACTATCGGCAAATCTGTCCAAACCAACCCTGAACTCCAAATCAGACTAACCTATAAATATTATTAGTATAAAATTAAAAAGTATAAGAATAGAGTAGTAGAAGAGTATTCAAATTTTAAGAAACGTTTTAATCTTCAAAATGTTTCATATATTTCATAAAATGTTAAAGGGTCAAAAAGGAGCTTATTTGCCCATCAAAGATGTCCCTTCTAGCTCCCAACTATAACCACCCCTTACTACTCATGTATTCATCCAATCTTTTCTTGAACTCAGTTAAACTTTCTGTCTCCACCACCCTTGAAGGCAGCTCATTCCAAAAGCCAAACATTCTGTTTGAAAAGTAATACTGTCTAAATTGTAGATAACTCCTATACTGCCAAAATTTGAATTTATGCCCCCTGGTCCTATTGTTGTCACTGCTAAACACAAAAGAGTTTGGTGGGTCTATATCATCAATACCATTAATTATCTTTAACACTTTAATCAAATCCCCTCTGCAGAGAAAACAAGTTAAGAGATTTTATTTTTAGTCTTTTCTCACAGAACAATCCCACCATCCAAGTTATCATCCTAGTGGCTCTTCTCTGAACCTTCTCCAACGATTCAATATCCTTCTTGAGGAAGGGAGCCCAAAACTGTACACAGTGCTCTAAATGAGGCCTAACATGTGATATACATACAGTGAAACAATAATATCTCTTGTCTTGTAAGGTGTATTCAATATTTCTTTAGATGCTACCCAAAATCCTATTAGCCCTATTGCTAGCTACAATACACTGTTTAGATAAGTTAAGTGATTTTTCAATCATAACACCAAGATATTTTTCTTCAGCCACATTATTTAATGTATTCTCATTTAAATTGTATCAATAATTTGAATTGTGAAAAACTACATGCATCATCTTGTGCTACTTCTATATCAACAAGTCTGGAATTGAGTTTTTAATTTGTATCAAATTTAAGCTAACGTTGTACTATAACTTATAGGCTTTTGCTAATTAACACTTTTGGCGAGTTTCGTATTGTAGAACTATTTGTAACTTCTCTGAATTTCATTACTTACAGCTTCCCAAGTTCACTAACTTCAAAGTTATAACTTAGGCCTATTAACGTTAGTACTGGTACTACAATAGCACTAGTAATACAACTTACCTACGAGTTTAACTTTAAGTTTAATGCGGTATTATAACTTTAATTATGGTATAGCCTCATTTTCAGTGCAACAACATCCTGATCGAAGTTAGCAATATGGCCAGTAAACTCAAACCTTGCTTTAAACAAAATATAAGATAAAAAGAGAAACTACTTGAATTTGTAAAATACAGCCAAGATGTTGTTGACAAGGTCGTAGCCATGACAACTGGAATGCATACTACCTCTAGGGAAAATATATCTATATATATAAAGACCAAATATGTGTTTGTTTGCACCCTAACACCTCCGAGCCTAGTATTGGGCCAATATCAACCAAAGTTTGTATGTAAACACAATGAATTGTGTCCTAAGGTGCTCAAAACTGAACTTAACCCAATTTCTATTTTGTAAAGCCTGTTGGTTAATTACTCCCAGCCTACTGAGTCAATCTTAAATAATCTTGGCAGGTTGACGTTTTAGACAATGCTAAATATTCTAAAGAGAGGACAAAGTATGAAAGTTGCTGGACTGCTTCTCAAACAATCATGTTTTCTCATGGTCATTGAGATTATTAAGGTGCTCAAGGGTGGGATTACCTCAAAATCTTTATTTGTTGGTAGATGGAAAGCAAACTGCAAATGTTGTTTATGAAGAAGCTTTATTATACTTTAAAAATTTTGAGGTACAGTTTATGTTCAGGCTATTACTTTGAAATATATCATTGCTGTTAAACTTACAATGTTTGAATTAAGTTTAAACATTCCCCATCGGTTGACGGGTATATAATACAGAAAAGTCTATGTGATAAATCTTATAGCCCCCTCAGTGGTTTGTTTTAAGTTAAGCACAAAGCTACACAATGGGCTATCTGTGCTCTTCTCACCACGGGTATCGAAACCCGGATTCTAGCGTTGTAAGTCCGCAAACATCCCGCTGTGCTACTAGGAGAAAATTTAATTACAATAGCGAGTTTGTTTTGAAAGCTTCGTAAGTTCGGTAGAAAATGAGATAAAATAGGGAATAGATAAAAGTAAGAAGGTGAGAAAAATACGTGGTTTTTTTACAATCAATAAATAAGCAAAACTTATTGATACGTAAGCCATAGCATCCTCTACCAGAATGTTCGCGCAATTTGTTCCATACTATTCAAGTACTATTTATTTAACTGTTAGAAGCAGACGTTTCTTCACTTTTACCCTCTTCCATAGCATCTTAAATGGCCTATCGTTAGGACTGATGGAATAAACATATATATGAATAATATATATATATATATATACATATTATACATGATTAGTTTTATTGACTGAATGATTCGTTTAGCGGTAATTATACCATCCAATGAAATAAAGGTAAAATGGAATACAGTTATCTAGAATTTATTCTTAATTGAACAAACCATCTTTACGAACAAACAAAGGTGAAATGGGCAGCTACTGCCTAGCTCAGAATGGCATTTATAGAAAAAGTGTTGGAGGACTAGCCTACAAATGTAGCTGAGTTGGAAAGGACAACATTTCACAAGGGTTCAGGTCCGCTTGTTTGTTTGTTTGAAGTTGAGCACAAAGCTACACAATGGGCTATCTGTGCTCTGCCCACCACGGGTACCGAAACCCGGTTTCTAGCGTTTAAGTCCACAGACATACTGCTGGGAAGTTCAGGTCAGCTTGCACTCACTCAGAAAAAAAAAAGAAAAAAAGAAAAGCTAAATATGCTAGAATGGTCAAAAATCTTCTGATCTTTTCCAAGGTCTGTGAATACTTTGGGGCTTCAAAACTCAATACAATATACTTTTTGAAATCCAGCGTTGGCTCAATGTAATTTAGTCTCCCTAAAATTTGGGGGAATAACGAGTTCTTTTATAATTACACGTGAATATATTTTCGCTTGCCCTTCCCTACCCATCATTTTTGGTGCTGGCGCCGCCATTGGACACAAAGATATTACATCACGATGAAAAATCAAAATATAAGACAAAAATAGTAATGTAATTTTTATATAATGAAAGATAAAAATTACATATATATTCGAAAAAATACCAACAAACAAACGAATGACGGGGATCATTAAAACAAATGCAATATAGAGTAAACTTTAGAATTGTTAATGCACCGGCTGATTATATGCTAACTTTTGTTTATCAGGTTGAAAGGGGGAGTATGCTTTTACCATAACGAGAGGGTAGCTGCTGTGGTAGAAAACTCTGCTGAGAGAGGATCTTGTTCTGAGCATTCCTATAGAATTTGGAAGCTATTTTAGCGAATCTTTTCTTAATTATGGGGGTAGTAAAAACTCTATTCAAATCATGTTGAAGTGTGGGTCGGAAAGTGAAAAGCTATACGAAGCACGTAGTTTTGCAGTGTTTGTAATTCATGGAAGGTGTTATCTGACATGTTGCAAGTTATCAAACATTCGTATTTTATTAGTGGTCTAATGAAAACTTTCTAGATAAGTAGTAGAGTTGAAGTTTTATAATCGTTAACACAGTGTCTTATATATTAGATTTAATTTTAACGCGCGTTTGTTTTGTAATATTTCGGTGAAGTATGACTTCTAGGTAAATTTCTTGAAATGATACCGAGAAACTTGTCCGTTCGTTTCATGAGAGGTATTTTAGTTTAAGTAAAGCCATATTATTTAAAGTTAAATAATATGATAAATAGAGAATAAATGAATAAAACTAATAATAACAGAAAGTGTACCAATTAAAAATAAAATGAAAAAAATTATATAGACAAATAAAAGGAATTAAATAAATAATCAAAAAATAAACAGAGATTGAATGATTCAACTTAAAGGTAAGGGGATCGAACGATCCAATACCCAGAAATTGGTTGTGGTACCCATCATACAGAATGGGTGGGGTAAAATGTCTTGATCAAGGGCGCAACAACATTACTCGGGCCATCCTCTAACTCGCAACCATCCGACTACGAGTCCAAAGTGCAAATCCATTGAGAAAAACCCACTTTCCTTGGTCGACCACAGTATATTCTACGCGATCGGTGCCCAAGCTGTGTAGCTAGAATGAAAGAAAAAAGGTATTATCTTCAAACATAATTGAAATATCAGTGAGTTAACAATATTACTTGGGATTTTATAATGATTGATGGATGTAGTGGAAAGAGAGTGAATAGACATTGTCGTGGGTGGCATTGTCGTTTGGGATAGTTTCAGGTGCCGTGTTTGATCATGGAGTTAGACACCATCATCGGAGTCTTAGGCTTGAAGAGGCTTAACTCAATAAAATGTCTCAGTCAGCAACTTTTCCGTAGAGGTTTCCAAAAACGTTTGTACTTTAGGCTCTGGATCAATCAGTATGTCCACTTGGGTTTCCTTACTTCTGGTGTTCACTCTAGTCTGGGTTTTTTCGATGGATGTTCCTGCGTTTGTTGTCTTCCTGGTCTACGTCTGTGTTTGACAGCCTTTTAACTTCTTAATAGTCACGGTTTGTGACTATTTTCATTTTTCCGTGGTTTTAACGTCATCTACTGACATCTGAGTTTGTTGGTCCGTGGTGGAGATGTTACTGGAGTAGAACTTGGACTTTGTGTGCAATACCGGATGTCAGTCATAGTTTTCCTTTGCTTGTTTGACTTTCTGTGTGGTTTTTACGCTTTGAAATGAAATAAATATAGGAAACAACCGTAAGTGAGTATGTATTCTTCAGTTCACTTTGATGTTGTTACAACTTTTATGAATTATGTTGGACGTCCTGTTTTCCTTGAAATGATTTTGTGGGGCAACTTGTATTTTAGTTGTAGTATCATTTTCCAGTGCTTGTAGGATTTCCTAAATGGTAATGGACGAGTCCACGTTTCTCAGAAGAACAGTATAGAGATAGCTGCTACGTCTGTGAGGCTGTAAACATACCGGGAGGTTGATGTTCTAGGCGTATTTAGATATCAGAGATCTTCGGGTGTCTTGAGTTGTATGGTGATTCCTCCTCGTTGTAATCTTCTTGAATCGTAAAGAATGGGTCGAAATTTAGGCTATGATTTTTCTAGTTTTCCAGAAATTTATCTGTGTCTATGTGTTTGTTATTTTTCCAGTACTTTTTATGTCCAATCAACAGGGCCTGTTCTGCCAGGGTCGAATTCTTGTGCAGTCTTTATGTTCTTTTATTTTTGCTCCAAAGTACCTTCCACTTTCTCTAATGTAGGTCTGTTTACAGGAACATGGTACTCTATAAATGACGTTTTTGTGTTTGTCGTCAATTGTTCTTTGCTTGGTAGATCTGGGCATTCTGTAAGATTTCCAGTATACATGAATGTTGAATTTCTCAGCCACAAGTTTGATCTTCCCATTTAAGTTTTGCGCATTCAGGAGGTAAATAGAGTTGGACTTGTTTTTCTTTTCTGTTGTATCATTTGATGTTTTAATTTTCTTCAATATATTTGTGGCGAAATTAGGGGGGTATCTGTTCTAGTTAACATACTATCTAATCAAAAACAAGGTTTAAGTGTGATAACAAAGGTGCGGCAAAAAAAAAAAAAAGGATTGAGCGTGCGGCTTAAAGGAATTAAATTGAAACTGGCGGTCAAACTAGTTGCTACATTTATAGCATTGATAAGAATTTTACGGTAAATATTCATTCATTAGTTAGCCAACTAGTTGTTCAACTTGGGGCATGATGGTGAGTAAAACAAAATACGCGGCCTAGCTAACTAATGAATGAATATTTGCTGTAAAATATTTTGTCCGCACCTTTTTTTCACACCTAAGATGTTTTTGATCAGATATTATAACTTTTTGTCAATATATATCAACAAACCACAGCAAGTAAGAAAGTGATACTCGATAGTAACCAACATTAGCTTGAGGACCGCAACCCTGTTATTTGGAACAGACCTTTACTCTACAGAACCAACCAAATTCTTTGAAATACATGGTGGTAGTTTTACCACTCTAAAACGGTGTTAACAACTTTCTTGGCCCGGCATGGCCAGGTGGTTTAAAATATTCCAAATTGTCTGCTAAAACTGGAGAAAGCGGTGATATCATGGCAAGGCTGTCTGTTTGTTCAAATATACCGTTTTTGTATAGAAAATATGTGGATTGCAGACAAACTGTGGTTAGTTTCATAATCTTTTCTATCTTCAAGTCAATTATATATGTAAGTTTGTTTTTAGAGCAAAGCCACAATGGATTATTTTCTATATCTACCGCTGGGAAATCGAACCCCGGATTTTAGCTTTCTACGACCGTAAA